TTCTACAGAATATCAACGATGGACTGCCTGGTCAGGATAGGGTAAATGTAGTGTAACATAGGTATACAGTAAGATAGTACTCTATATATATATTATTTCTACAGCATATCAACGATGGACTGCCTGGTCTGGATGGGGTAAATGTAGTGTAACATAGGTATACAGTAAGATAGTACTCTATATATATATATATTATTTCTACAGCATATCAACGATGGACTGCCTGGTCAGGATGGGGTAAATGTAGTGTAACATAGGTATACAGTAAGATAGTACTCTATATATATATATATTATTTCTACAGCATATCAACGATGGACTGCCTGGTCTGGATGGGGTAAATGTAGTGTAACATAGGTTTACAGTAAGATAGTACTCTATATATATATATATTATTTCTACAGCATATCAACGATGGACTGCCTGGTCTGGATGGGGTAAATGTAGTGTAACATAGGTATACAGTAAGATAGTACTCTATATATATATATATTATTTCTACAGCATATCAACGATGGACTGCCTGGTCTGGATGGGGTAAATGTAGTGTAACATAGGTATACAGTAAGATAGTACTCTATATATATATATATTATTTCTACAGCATATCAACGATGGACTGCCTGGTCTGGATGGGGTAAATGTAGTGTAACATAGGTATACAGTAAGATAGTACTCTATATATATATATTATTTCTACAGCATATCAACGATGGACTGCCTGGTCTGGATGGGGTAAATGTAGTGTAACATAGGTATACAGTAAGATAGTACTCTTTATATATATATATTATTTCTACAGCATATCAACGATGGACTGCCTGGTCTGGATGGGGTAAATGTAGTGTAACATAGGTATACAGTAAGATAGTACTCTATATATATATATATTATATATTATATTGTTTTACTGTCTGAAAGCAAAGAGGGTCTACAAAAATCTCTTGATATTTTACATGAATATTGTTCATCATGGAAACTACAAGTTAATACTGATAAATCAAAAATTATGATATTTAATTCTAATGGCAAGACCTTTGTTAAACCATTTTACCTATGATAATGCATATCTTGAAACGGTTACAAATTATTGTTACTTGGGTATTGTTTTAAAGTATAATGGCAATTTTTGCCTTGCCATGAATACTCTAATGGAAAAAGCCAGGAAGGCATACTATAAGATAAAGAAAACTATAGGTATTAACAACCCATGTAGACTTCTTGAAAAATTGTTTGATTGTTTAGTTACTCCCATTCTTACATATTGTAGTGAAATTTGGGGGGTGGATTCACATTTTAAAGACTCTGATCCCTTTGAAAAACTTCATGTTAAATTTATCAAAGATATATTAGGGGTTCACTGTAAGGCATCTAATGATGGATGTCGAGCCGAACTTAATAGAATTCCCTTGAAAAATAAAATATTATATTCAACATTCAACTACCTGAACCATATAGTTTCTTCGGAAAATTCTTTGGCATATGATATATTCACTAAATCTGTAGATTCAAACCCTTGGGTCATAAAGGTCAAGAGTCTTTTGAATGGACTTGGAATGTCTTATATCATCAATAACTTTAATTATGTTAAAGGTAATTTAAATTCCATTAAACAAAGAATTAATGACCAATGTTTGCAAGTTCAAAATGCAAATATATTTGAATCAAAAAAGTTAGAGTTTTTCAAGAGTGTCTACATAATGGGCAGAAGACCACCCTATGTTGATATATTGAAAAACAGAAGTGACAGAGCTGCAATATGTAAGATCCGTATAAGCGCTCATATACTGATGATTGAAAGAGGGAGACATCTAAATATTCCCAGAAATGAAAGATACTGCTCTGTATGTAATTCTGGTCAAATTGAAAATGAAAAACATTTTCTTTTACATTGTGAAAAATACTCAACTAAAAGGGCCATATTTTACCAAAAAGTTTCAAATATAATCGTTGATCCTACAAAATTTCAAAAAAATGAAAATAATGTAATCTTTTTATTAAATAATAATTCATACACAATCCTAAAATTGACTTCCTCTTTCATTTCAGACAGTCTGAATCTGCGTAAAGCAGAACAAACTCTATAAAATTGTCAATATGTCTAATTCATAATCATTGTTTATAATATTACATATTAATATTATGTATGATCAACTATGTAATTAATATACCATGAGCCTTAACCATTTATTGTTGATGAGTTTGTGCTAATAAAAATTTGTATTTGTATTTAATTTGTATTATTTCTACAGCATATCAACGATGGACTGCCTGGTCTGGATGGGGTAAATGTAGTGTAACATAGGTATACAGTAAGATAGTACGCTATATATATATTATTTCTACAGCATATCAACGATGGACTGCCTGGTCAGGATGGGGTAAATGTAGTGTAACATAGGTATACAGTAAGATAGTACTCTATATACCGGTATATATTATTTCTACAGCATATCAACGATAGACTGCCTGGTCTGGATGGGGTAAATGTAGTGTAACATAGGTATACAGTAAGATAGTACGCTATATATATATTATTTCTACAGCATATCAACGATGGACTGCCTGGTCTGGATGGGGTAAATGTTGTGTAACATAGGTATACAGTAAGATAGTACGCTATATATATATTATTTCTACAGCATATCAACGATGGACTGCCTGGTCAGGATGGGGTAAATGTAGTGTAACATAGGTATACAGTAAGATAGTACTCTATATATATATTATTTCTACAGCATATCAATGATGGACTGCCTGGTCTGGATGGGGTAAATGTAGTGTAACATAGGTATACAGTAAGATAGTACGCTATATATATATTATTTCTACAGCATATCAACGATGGACTGCCTGGTCTGGATGGGGTAAATGTAGTGTAACATAGGTATACAGTAAGATAGTACTCTATATATATATATATATTATTTCTACAGCATATCAACGATGGACTGCCTGGTCAGGATGGGGTAAATGTAGTGTAACATAGGTATACAGTAAGATAGTACTCTATATATATATATATTATTTCTACAGCATATCAACGATGGACTGCCTGGTCTGGATGGGGTAAATGTAGTGTAACATAGGTATACAGTAAGATAGTACTCTATATATATATATATATATTATTTCTACAGCATATCAACAATGGACTGCCTGGTCTGGATGGGGTAAATGTAGTGTAACATAGGTATACAGTAAGATAGTACGCTATATATATATTATTTCTACAGCATATCAACGATGGACTGCCTGGTCTGGATGGGGTAAATGTAGTGTAACATAGGTATACAGTAAGATAGTACTCTATATATATATATATTATTTCTACAGCATATCAACGATGGACTGCCTGGTCAGGATGGGGTAAATGTAGTGTAACATAGGTATACAGTAAGATAGTACTCTATATATATATATATTATTTCTACAGCATATCAACGATGGACTGCCTGGTCTGGATGGGGTAAATGTAGTGTAACATAGGTATACAGTAAGATAGTACTCTATATATATATATATATATTATTTCTACAGCATATCAACGATGGACTGCCTGGTCTGGATGGGGTAAATGTAGTGTAACATAGGTATACAGTAAGATAGTACGCTATATATATGTATATTATTTCTACAGCATATCAACGATGGACTGCCTGGTCAGGATAGGGTAAATGTAGTGTAACATAGGTATACAGTAAGATAGTACTCTATATATATATTATTTCTACAGCATATCAACGATGGACTGCCTGGTCTGGATGGGGTAAATGTAGTGTAACATAGCTATACAGTAAGATAGTACTCTATATATATATTATTTCTACAGCATATCAACGATGGACTGCCTGGTCTGGATGGGGTAAATGTAGTGTAACATAGGTATACAGTAAGATAGTACTCTATATATATATTATTTCTACAGCATATCAACGATGGACTGCCTGGTCAGGATAGGGTAAATGTAATGTAACATAGGTATACAGTAAGATAGTACTCTATATATATATTATTTCTACAGCATATCAACGATGGACTGCCTGGTCTGGATGGGGTAAATGTAGTGTAACATAGGTATACAGTAAGATAGTACGCTATATATGTATATATTATTTCTACAGCATATCAACGATGGACTGCCTGGTCAGGATAGGGTAAATGTAGTGTAACATAGGCATACAGTAAGATAGTACGCTATATATATATATATTATTTCTACAGCATATCAACGATGGACTGCCTGGTCTGGATGGGGTAAATGTAGTGTAACATAGGTATACAGTAAGATAGTACGCTATATATATATATATATTATTTCTACAGCATATCAACGATGGACTGCCTGGTCAGGATAGGGTAAATGTAGTGTAACATAGGTATACAGTAAGATAGTACGCTATATATATATATATTATTTCTACAGCATATCAACGATGGACTGCCTGGTCTGGATGGGGTAAATGTAGTGTAACATAGGTATACAGTAAGATAGTACTCTATATATATATTATTTCTACAGCATATCAACGATGGACTGCCTGGTCTGGATGGGGTAAATGTAGTGTAACATAGGTATACAGTAAGATAGTACGCTATATATATATATATATTATTTCTACAGCATATCAACGATGGACTGCCTGGTCTGGATGGGGTAAATGTAGTGTAACATAGGTATACAGTAAGATAGTACGCTATATATATATATATTATTTCTACAGCATATCAACGATGGACTGCCTGGTCTGGATGGGGTAAATGTAGTGTAACATAGGTATACAGTAAGATAGTACTCTATATATATATTATTTCTACAGCATATCAACGATGGACTGCCTGGTCTGGATGGGGTAAATGTAGTGTAACATAGGTATACAGTAAGATAGTACTCTATATATATATTATTTCTACAGCATATCAACGATGGACTGCCTGGTCTGGATGGGGTAAATGTAGTGTAACATAGGTATACAGTAAGATAGTACGCTATATATATATATATATTATTTCTACAGCATATCAACGATGGACTGCCTGGTCTGGATGGGGTAAATGTAGTGTAACATAGGTATACAGTAAGATAGTACGCTATATATATATATATTATTTCTACAGCATATCAACGATGGACTGCCTGGTCTGGATGGGGTAAATGTAGTGTAACATGTGCAACAGGTATATCTATAAGGAAAAGAGAATGTAAAATGGCTGAAGGAGGCTGTCAAGGTCAGGATTCACAAATGAAATCTTGTACAATGTCATCTTGTCCGATCACCATCATCCCCTCGACCACGACCACTACCACTACCACTACCCATGCTCCAGTGAATGTTCCGTTAGAATGGGGTCAGTGGTCTGAATGCTCTGTAACCTGTGGTATGGGAGTGATATTTAGACAGAAATACTGTCATGATCAAAGTAGGCGGCATTGTAAAGGGCCAGTTCAACATGAGAATAAACGATGTATAACTGATTCTTGTAACCAGCAAGGTAATCACAACTTTATAACTTTCATTCATTTTCCCTTCAAGTTTGTCCCCGACGCTCTATTTTGAAACTAATACTGTATGATAAAACAAATTTTACAGAAAACTCAGCAATCATGGGCATACATTACACCTAGTAGCATGGGCAGATCATCCAAATTTAATGCTTTGTTTCGCATCTATAACTATAGTTTTAACATGAATTGAAAAGTAAACCAATTTATTTTATTATTTTAGTGACATATAGTAATTGTTACATTTCTCCTTCTGTTCAATGTTGGTCGGATAAACAATCTAGGCTTTAAAGAGGTGAATATCATGCTATATTCAGGCCATTGTGCTGGAATATGGCTCTCTTATTAACATTTTTGGAAATTAATTTAGTTTCTTTATTGACTTTAAAGGTTGTTGAAGATGAATTGATAGAATTAAGGACCTAGACTGTTTTAATCAGGTTGAGATTTGCAGTGTTCACATTACATTATTAATATCATTTGTTACTGAACTTCTAAAACACATATAACATAATTTTTTTAGAGGTACGACAACAAATGCAGATTTTAGAAGGTCATGATGCTGTTTTACCATGTGGAATAAAAAAGAAGCCACATAACAGCATATACTGGATAACACCTAAAGGAAAGAAAATAGACTCACATACTGTTATTAAAAGGTTGGAAGATTTTACTGTAAACTTATATGTTCATTATGTCGTTAAAAGGTTTGAGATTATACTAATATCTAAATGCACACATAGTACTGTACGTTACTTCAGAACTTATACGCATTTCAATCTATTTAGCTTGAACATTAGAAATATTTATAGTCTAGATTTTATATTTTCAATGAATTGTTTTAAAATTTGCTCAAATTGTAAAGATGTTGTGTTTGTGAATGATAACGTGATGACAATGAGTCGATGTATATATATTTCTTTAATTCTTAGCCAATTTATGCTTTTCCTGACCTGTTGATTATTTTTATTTAAAGACCAAACAGCCTATTCAGTTCTACCAGTGATTTTTCCTTAAAATTTTATGTGAAGGTATTTCATGATTTGAGGAACAAAATATGATAAAAAAAATTGGGGGTCACCGACTTAGTTTTGTCACTATCGCAACCTCAGTTTCGTGTTTTCCCGAATATTAACATGATATTTGCTTGTTATTTAAACTCTCAAAAAATCCCATTATATCAAACCTACAAGCATAATTCTTGTTTCATGCTAAACAGTAGATTTGTGTCTATCAAATACAGGTTCAAGAGTTTAAGACTCTTATTGTTTTGATCTTAAAAAATATGATTTATTTCATTCCCGCCAAAAATAAAACGCAAGAATGAAAAACGTTTCAAGTATTAAAAAATATCTACCAGTGATTTTTTCATAAAATTTCAAGAAAGAAATTGCCATGTGTACTCTTCAAAATACTGCAAAAAAATGTATATGTCACCGACCTTTCATAAAAGTTATGATTAATTTTCATGTTTTTTTCTCGTTCGTTTTGAAAAAAAAGAGTTGTCTTTCTTCAGAACATTGAATCTGACGTCATAGTACAAGTTTTCCTTGCTGGCGTACTATTTGAAAAAAATTGCAAATTGGACGTTTGAAACCCACATTTAAATTTTCAAGAATCAAAAATAACAACTATATTAACCTACTTTATTATCCGGTAATAAAAGAGATCACGTGCATGTATGTATCAGTATCAGATCTCATGATGTTGTTGCCGCACAAAATTAACCTTCAGAAACACCATCCGTCGGAATGAAAAATTGTTCGAAATAACCTTTTACGACGCTTTAGAAAGGAATGTCTATTTTTGTCCTCTCCCTCTCATTAGCAAAATCATTGAAAATAAAAAGAGAAATGAAAGTTGACACTGGTTAACTTACAGACTATTTGACTATATTAAACTAGATGTGTGGGGTTTTTTGTCATGTCAATTTCAGAATTTGCCCTAGCGCACTCTTTCGCTACTGTTGACAGACGGACACACATTAGCACGGGCGCATCCTTTATAAAACGTTTTACATCCATTTAACCTATCATAAAATACGATCCCCGTTATTACTACCTCACGTGTTTTGAATAAACGAGACAGTAAATACAAACTACAAATAAGTTTTTAATACAAAAATTGATTTAGAATATAAGAAATAATTTTCCGTTGAAAACTATAAAGTATTTCTCAAAACAGGATGAAATATTATGAATCTATAAATAGCTCATTTTGGGAATTAAAACAAAGACAAGGTATGTATAGATTGCCGACAATGAACTTTTATCATTTTTATTTTTACTAAAAGATTTTGTCATTAAGCAGTATAGATAAAATTTAACTTCATTGCAAGATCACCAATATTTTACGAGAATCTTAAAGAAATAAGTTAATCTCACCATGCATACTTTGCCAGTATATCGAAACTTCTAGAAAGTATTGATTATCAGCCTAACCTTCTGAAAACTCAATTTTGAAAATCACATATTAAGTTAGAATTCTAAGCGTTAGTCATATAAATTTACCAGTGTAAAGTTACACGGGCGTACGAGATTTGCGCCGATTTAAAAAAAAATTCGATCTTTAATTTAAGCCGATTTGATTCTTTCATTAGCGCCAATTTTATTTTTTTTATCACTAGCCCCGATACTATATTTGCTATACGAGTAAATACATGTACATGTAGTAAACCTAGAATGTATATTGCATGGCAATATATGGATATAAACAGTGTTCCCTTATGTTTAAGATAATTTTGGTTATATTGTTCGAGAACTTCGTTTTGACACGAGAAAGAAAAGATGGACTTCGTTGTTGGCAAGTACAACATGTATAGAAAAGATGAAATGACAAGAAAGGAATATATCAGATGTGTGGCATATAAATTCTCGACAAGATAATAATTCATTGTACTAGTATTACATTTTTATGGATTTTATTGTGGTGCTTTGAAATGCTGTGAATAGAATTTTACTCCGTGATTTTAGTGGATGTAAACAGAGTGCACAAATATCTTTTAAATTGACTTATCCTGCTCGAAATTCTAATCCCACCTCCTCTTTGTGAGCAGGGGACAACAGTTATATACATGTTGTAATTGACAATTCATAACATATGTACAACTGGCTAACAGAAGAGGTTTATATGATAAATAAAAAAATAACTCTCACCTATAATTTACCTGTACACAATGAATCAGCGCAAGTGAAAGAAAAAAAGTGAAATGCAGATCGGCGCAAATGCAAAAAGCCGAGTTCAACATTTATATTTTTATTATTGTTTTTATTAAAACGGAGGTTACAGATAATGTAGTATCTTTTGTGTCCATTTGTGTTTAATTTCCACTAGGTATTAGCGCGACGCTTAATTCCACTTTTCTTGGAAGACGTAGTTTTAAGCGTACATCATGTTGGAATCCGTGAAAAACACGAAATAGGACGTTATAATTTGACGTTTTTTTTCGTGGCTAGAAACAACGTCATAGAGCTTTTATGTCACTACCAAGTTGCGTTAGTTGATGCGCATCAACAATAGGCTGTTTGGTCTTTAATGAACATGTGGTTCGTTTGATCTCAGCTCTTCATTGGTCAAAATTCAATTATGATGTCTGACAGTCAAATTTTCTTGCTTTCCTCTAAATTTCCTGTTGTGCCGTCACATAAAAAGGCAACCATGCCTGATGACATTAAATAAAAAGAACACATCTTTTTGCAGATCATTGAAAAAGAAGGATTAAGTTTGTCTGCATATCGTCTAAAAATCATTAGAGTTCAAGCAGATTTTACGACCACCAAATTTCGTGCAATACGATGTTTCTTCACCCTTGATAGGTAAATTTTTAATATTCAATACACTCTGCAAGCTTCACGTTATAAATTTGAAAGTATTTTACTGTCCCTAGTGGAGAAATATCGTATCACAATGGTGCAGTGGTAGAATCTAAATATATACATACATCTTAGGAGTTCTTGTAAATAGACTTTCATGATTTCAGGTCTGAAGTTTCTGTAAACAGTCAGTCGATGTCACAGATTTTTATAAAAATTTGCCTTGAAACAATTTTGATTGTTCAAAAAAAAAAAAAAAAATTAAAATGCATTTATCACTTTATTGTTTAGATATGCTGTTGAATAAATCTTCTTAAAATTATGTACATGCATTTATGTGTTTAATTTGTAAAAACATTCCAAAAATGAATCTTAAAATCATCATTTCTCTGGAATTTACTTATTCCTAGATTTCTATGCCCCACTTAGGGGCATTATGTTTTTCGGTTTATGCGTCCATTGGTCCGTCTGTCCAGCTTCAGGTTAAAGTTTTTGGTTAAAGTTTTTGGTCAAGGTAGTTTTTGATGAAGTTGAAGTCTAATCAACTTGAAACTTAGTACACATGTTCCCTATGATATGATCTTTCTAATTTTAATGCCAAATTAGAGTTTTGACCCCAATTTCACGGTCCACTGAACATAGAAAATGATAGTGTGAGAGGGACACATTCTTGTTTTTAAAAGTTTAATAATTTGGTTAATAGATATAAATTATTGTTAAATTGATGTAAAATAGTCTTTATAGTGATACTTAAATTCATCATTGTGATCATACCTGCCAACTTTTCAAAATTGCCATTGGGGATTTTAAGAGCAAGAGGACCTAATACTCCTCTTATATTGTCACAAGTGTTCTTAATCTACTACTGTATGGTTTGAATTAGTATATATGTGCTTAAATATCCTTTTAACTCATTTGAATGCCTGCTTTTAGGTGTTCAGTTTATATAATAAAGCTTTCAAAATTCAGGTCAACACCTCTCATTGGGGATATCCCCCATAAATCAGGATAGTTGGCAGGTCTGATTCATAATAAACATTTTTGATGTATAAATCATTTTAAAATATAAAAATAAGTAGAAATGATATGATTGCTACTTAGACAAGTATCTCCACCAGAGACCAAATGACATAAAAGTTAACAACTATATATATAGGTCATAATATGGCCATCAACAATCAGCATATTTAACCCATACTGGAAAAGGTTCTAGTAGTTTACAATTTTACACTGATTTGAATGTTTTAAAGCATTTTTACACCCATGAATTATTTTAATGACAAAATACACCCAAAAATAAATATTTTGTCTGTTGCATAAGCCATTTACATTATTCTAGATTCTGTCGTCAACTTTTAGTTTCACTGTCTGCAGTTAAAGTTTTTTAAGACATCAATAACTTTGTAAAACCTTTAATTTTATGGAATTTTATGAAATTTGGACAAGCTTTTTTATGACCAAAAGACATAATCCAGAGCAAAATTTTGAAAATATTAATTTTTATTTTTCTGGAATTTACTGTTAAATGGAATTTTTTTGTTACACTGTTTACAAGTACATACAGTCTTGAGTTAAAGTTTCTTACTCATCAATTACTTTATCAAACCTTCATAGAATATTATGATCCATCACATCTGCTCTCTAACATAACCCTTTTCCATTTCACTTTTTATACCAATATTTTTTCAGAGTTTTGGTGGTTGATGATAAGTTACTACTTAGAGAAACACAAAGAAGAGAACATGGAGTATACCACTGTGTGTCATCAGATGGACAAACTTCTGATGTAGAAATAGGTATAAGTGATTACAGATAGTTGGACTTGTCAATCAAATTTAAGTTAGTTTCAATAAAAAAGCATCAGTTATTTCAAAATAAAAATAATTGTTTTTATAAAGCCCAGAGAGGAAATGATAATTTGTGTAGAATTAATTACAATTTTACTGTTATTAAACATAAATGTAATGCTTTTAAGAATTATGATCATTCCAAAAAACAAATTAAAAGCAAAATTCTTTTATCTCAACCTCGGGGTGCCACTTTAATCTTTCTTTGGTAGGGGTGAGCAGCTGAGACATCAAGTACCCCACCCTTTTCATATATTTTGTTCATCAAAAATATATACCCTATCATATATCAATTAACAAAAAACAGACCTATAGATATATTTGGATATTTTTCATCTTCTGGTATATTAGTATAGCAATTTTTTTTTTTGGTCCGGCTGATCATCACGTTCATGTTTAGTAGCAACACAGTCACAATAATCACAACTTGTTTTTCCAATAAACTCGTCACATCTTTTAAATACTTTCCTCTATTTACCCCTTTTATGTCTTTCATTAGGAAAAAAAATAAAATTGCAATAGATGCATTTACGACTGTGGTTTAACTGCATCAAAAAATAAATACTGACATCTGATTAGTTTCAGATACTTATGATATAATCAAGCAAATGATAATATCAACCTAATGATATAATTAATCTGAATTTCTCACCCTTTTCATATATTAATTATTATGGAGCATGAAATAGTGACTCATCCCTACCACTCATTACATAGTAAGTCCCCCCCCCCGAGATCTCAACATCAGAATTGGATATTATCCATTAAAACATGACTTTTGTAAAGTCATGATAAATATCATTACAATATATAATGATTAATAATATATGTTATGAAGAAATAATTATTGTAAAATATTAAACTCCCTATGTAAATATGCAGATAGCTAAATAAAAAAAATGTAATTGATGTGTTTTAAAAGTTAATTTGAGATTTAAAAGAATACTGGTATGTTAAAATTTGTTAGTTTACCTAATGAAGTTTCTCATTATAGATCTATATTACAGTAGTTTACCTGTAAACTATAAATAGAACAAACTAGTGATAGCGACCTACCTATGTTTATAAAAAGCTAAGAACGACAACCATTATCTATTTTTCACTAAAGTGGTTTCTTTTATTTGCAAAATTGATAGAACACTGCCAGTAAATAAAACTTTAGCAATACCAAAAAAAGAAAAAAAAGTAGTGTTATGAATTTAGAAATATAAAGATGACTATTCCTTCATACAACATACAAATTTTGCATGAAAACATGCAGATATATTTTACATTCAATACCTCTTCTTATGAAAAAAATTGTTTTATTGACCTCCCTGAGAATTTGTGAAACAGGTATCGCTTCTCGGCCTTTTGGCTAAGATCAAAGTGTAGTATCTGTTCTTATCAGCTTAATATCTGATACGTACCCCATGTGGGTACTTCGATATTAAACTGATTTTTGGTACTCGATGAGATGTCAGGGGCTTGCTCCGCTCTCGTCACGGGTTGGCCTGGTATTGCAGTACCTCCAGGATCGGCCCACTCCCCACAAGGGGAGAACATACACAAGAAAATATGTTTCCTTATAAAATATGTGGCCTAAATGTTTGCTTTTTGTGTACTCTTACAGCTTAAAATATCACAAAAAGATGTATGATATAGTACTTTTAACATATTAAAATAACCAAAGAAATGCAAATGTTGTTACAGATGTTCTGTGGTGTGGATTAGAATTGTGCCAGCATGGAGGCAATTGTGTCAGGACACTTGCAAGACTTGAACATGGTCACAGGAGATTTGAATGTGTGTGTACATCAGGGTATTCGGGCATGTTCTGTGAGGAAAGTAAGTTACCATTATAATTTTACAAAAGGCATCTTCTTTATATTAGTTCCACTATCCATGAAAACTACATTAAATTGATGTGACCAGAATCTTTATGAATAAGTAAAAGGATGTGTGATGTATATGTTACTCTGAGAGAGCATGTACATGCAAAATAAAATAATTATTAGATATAAAAGGGGAAATAAAACCTTAATTAAAATGATTTCCCTGAATCTGAAGAATATAAAGGCCTGTACGAAATGGGACGCCCGTAAATGACACGGAAACCAGGCGTAGAAATCATACTCTATCAGGGCGTCATTGTAGTGTTTACGGAATGCATGTCCAGGCGTCAACCAGGCGTAAACCAGGCGGAAACCAAGCGTAACTGAGGCGGAAACCAGGCGTAAAATTAGGCGTAATATTTAAATAAGTACGCCTGATCCACAGAAAACCAGGCTTTATATGCAAATGAGTCGCCTGGTCAATAAAAAAACCAGGCGTAATATCCTTACATAATACTACACTTATTTTAAATCAGTGTATTACCCTGGCTGTGTACTTTTGTGTATTTGATACAAACTTCTGTACTATTGCTTAAATTTCTCACTGTTTGACATGAAACTTGAAATATTAACCATCAATTGAAGAAGCTATATAAATAAATACATATTAGACAGACACTGGCTCAAATAAGTTTAAGTTTAAATTAGAATTATGACAATTAATTCTTCCTGAAATAAAACCAGCATTTTAACTACATGTAAGTTTTTTTGAAAATTAATGTCATTTGAACCAAAATATCAATGATAATACTGCAATTAAACTTAATGTGAAAGATTTTAATGTTATCATCCAAGGATGAAGGTTTTCAGAATTCAAAATTACTGTTAAAAAAAAAAAAAACTTAGTTACTCACATAATTATCTTTTACCATGTATATTACTTTCCCTTTATTTCACAATTTTCATTACATGCATTAATCAATTTGATTCCATAATTCCAATTCCAAATTCTTCCAAAAAGCACAAAACAAGCTTAATTATCCCTGAATATATAAAGCTGCCATAAGTCCAACTCTTGCAAAATAATACCAAAGAGCCAAATTTTGAACAAAATCCCATGATCCTTTATTAACAAAGCATTATGGGTATTATGATTTACGCCATACCAACAGTTTTACGCCCGTAGGAAAATTTACGTCTTACTTATTTCAATTTACGCCAGGTTTACCATATTTTCTACGCCCATAAGGACTACAACTTTACGTTTCCTGTTCCCTTATGCCTGGATCAGGACACGTAACTACCACTTACGCCTGGTTTACGCCAGATTTCCAGGCGTAATACGCCTTATAATTTCGTACGGGGGAATAACAATATGCAATGTTTAGATTATGTAAATATAAGCTAATACAGACAAATATAAACAAACATTTTGTTGATAACAAAAATTGACAAGCCAGGTTTGAAATTTTTTTGAAGAGGTATTAAAAAATGAGGGGCATATTGCAAATGTGCCAATTTGAAAGAAATCAAAATGTTTGCCAAAACAAATTACCAATCTAAAAAGAACAGGTAATTTCACATTCATTTTAGATAATTAACTGTTACATACTGTGGATTCAATAGTATTAGTGGAATACCAATTTTTCGTGGATTTCGTGGGTGCATATGAAAATCATATTTAAATGTGCAACGAAGTACAAATTTTCTATAGGCATGTAAACTTTTGTAAAACCAAGAAATCAAGTATCCAAGAAAATACAAGTTTTTCTTAATCCACGAAAATTTGGTACCAGTGAAAAAATAAATACATGTATATCCACAGTAAGTTAATCCAAAGACATTTTGTTTGTTATCTTTAATGTTGCTTTTAAGTTTATGTTAACGCTACATATAAAAGTATTGACATACAGAAAGAGTTCTTTGATTTTAACACTTTGAGGTAAAAGGATTGATCTTTTACACACTGAAACAAACTGAGGAAAGGTACATCTTATTGTCAATAAAAAAAACCATTTGCTGTTAAAAAGTACGAGATGCAAGTTTGAGGTGAAATAACACAGTACATAAGAAACTTGCTTACCATAAATGAGCGACAGCAGATTTGTAAATATATTAATGTACATATGATGTCAAGGTGTTTTCTTTTATATTGTACACAAAAAGTTCAAATTATTGTCACAAATACAAAATGCTTAAAAAGACAACAAAAAAGCTTAATCAGATTTAACTAAACTTTGGTGAAATAATGCATTATGTAAAAATTTAATATATCCAAAATGAAACCAGATATCTAAACACCAACACAATATTCCACACAGACAACCTGATATCTTGACAACACAGTATTCCCCATAGACAACCAGATATCTTGACAACACAATATTCCAATTATATACTATCAGATATCTTGACAACACAAAATTCCCTATAGACAACCAAATATCTTAACAACACCACACTATTCCCTATAGACCAGCTGATCTCTTAACAACACCACACTATTCCCTATAGACAACCAGATCTCTTAACAACACCACACTATTCCCTATAGATAACCTGATATCTTAACAAAACCACACTATTCCCTATAGACAACCAGATATCTTCAAAACACCACACTATTCCCTATAGACAAACAGGTATCTTAAAAACATCAAACTATTCCCTATAGACAACCAGATATCTTCAAAACACCACACTCTTCCCTATAGACAACCAGATCTCTTAACAACACCACACTATTCCCTATAGACAACCAGATCTCTTAACAACACCACACTATTCCCTATACATAACCTGATCTCTTAACAACACCACACTATTCCCTATAGACAACCAGATATCTTCAAAACACCACACTATTCCCTATAAACAATCAGATATCTTAACAACACCACAATATTCCCTATAGACAACATGATATCTTCAAAACACCACACTATTCCCTATAGACAACCAGATATCTTAACAACACCACACTATTCCCTATAGACAAGCTCATCTCTAAACAACACCACACAATTCCCTATAAACAACCAGAAATCTTTCAACACCACAATATTCCCTACAGACAAGCTGATTTCTTAACAACAACACAATATTCCATATAGACAACCCGATGTCTTAAAAACACCACAATATTCCATATAGACAACCAGATATCTTAACAACACCACACTATTCCCTATAGACAACCCAATATCTTAAAAACATCAACCTATTCCCTATAGACAACCAGATATCTTAACAACACCACACTATTCCCTATAGACCAGCTGATCTCTTAACAACACCACACTATTCCCTATAGACAACCAGATCTCTTAACAACACCACACTATTCCCTATAGATAACCTGATATCTTAACAAAAGCACGCTATTCCTTATAGACAACCAGAAATCTTCAAAACACTACACTATTCCCTATAGACAAACAGGTATCTTAAAAACATCAAACTATTCCCTATAGACAACCAGATATCTTATCAACACCACAATATTCCCTATAGACAACCTGATCTCTTAACAACACCACACTATTCCCTATAGACAACCAGATCTCTTAAAAACACCACACTATTCCCTATAGATAACCTGATCTCTTAACAACACCACACTATTCCCTATAGACAACCAGATATCATCAAAACACCACACTATTCCCTATAAACAACCAGATATCTTAACAACACCACAATATTCCCTATAGACAACATGATATCTTCAAAACACCACACTATTCCCTATAGACAACCAGATATCTTAACAACACCACAATATTCCCTATAGACAACCAGATCTCTTAACAACACCACACTATTCCCTATAGACAACCAGATCTATCAACAACACCACACTATTCCCTATAGACAAGCTCATCTCTAAACAACACCACTAGGTTCCCTATAAACAACCAGATATCTTAACAACACCACATTATTCCCTACAGACAAGCTGATTTCTTAACAACACCACAATATTCCCTATAGACAACCAGATATCTTAACAACATCACAATATTCCCTATAGATGACCAGATATCGTAACAACACCACAATATTCCCTATAGACAAGAGGATATCTTAACAACACCACAATATTCCCTATAGACAGCAGGATATCTTAACAACCTCCAATATTCCCTATAGACAAACGGATATCTTAACAACAGCACAATATTTCCTATAGACAACAGGATATCTTAATAACCTACAATATTCCCTATAGCTAACAGGATATCTTAACAACACCACAATATTTCCTATAGACAACAGGATATCTCAATAACCTATAGTATTCCCTATAGACAACCAGATATCTTAACAACAACACAATATTCCCTATAGACAACAGGATATCTTAATAACCTACAATATTCCCTATAGCTAACAGGATATCTTCAAAACACCACACTATTCCCTATAGACAACCAGATATCTTAACAACACCACAATATTCCCTATAGACAACCAGATCTCTTGACAACACCACAATATTCCCTACAGACAACGAGATCTCTTAACAACACCACACTATTCCCTATAGCCAAGCTCATCTCTAAACAACACCACACGATTCCCTATAAACAACCAGATATCTTAACAACACCACATTATTCCCTACAGACAAGCTGATTTCTTAACAACACCACAATATTCCCTATAGACAACCAGAAATCTTAACAACATCACAATATTCCCTATAGACGACCAGATATCTTGAGAACACCACAATATTCCCTTTAGACAAGAGGATATCTTAACAACACCACAATATTCCCTATAGACAGCAGGATATCTTAACAACCTCCAATATTCCCTATAGACAACCAGATATCTTAACAACAGCACAATATTTCCTATAGACAACAGGATATCTTAATAACCTACAATATTCCCTATAGCTAACAGGATATCTTAACAACACCACAATATTTCCTATAGACAACAGGATATCTTAATAACCTACAGTATTCCCTATAGACAACCAGATATCTTAACAACAACACACTATTCCCTATAGACAACAGGATATCTTAATAACCTACAATATTCCCTATAGCTAACAGGATATCTTAAAAACACCACAATATTCCCTATAGCCATCAGGATATCTTAATAACCTACAATATTCCCAATAGACAACCAGATATATCTTAACAACATCACAATATTCCCTATAGACAATCAGATATCTTAACAACACCACAATATTCCCTATATACAACAGGATATCTTAACAACACCACAATATTCCCTATAGACAACAGGATATCTTATCAACCTACAATATTCCCTATAGACAACAGGATATCTTAACAACACCACAATATTCCCTATAGACAACAGGATATCTTAACAACACCACAATATTCCCTATAGACAACAGGATATCTTATCAACCTACAATATTCCCTATAGACAACAGGATATCTTAACAACACCACAATATTCCCTATAGACAACAGGATATCTTAACAACACCACAATATTCCCTATAGACAACAGGATATCTTAACAACACAACAATATTCCTTATAGATAACAGGATATCTAAACAACACCACAATATTCCCTATGGAGAACAGGATATCTTAACAACCTACAATATTCCCTATAGACAACAGGATATCTTAACAACACCACAATATTCCCTATAGACAACAGGATATCTTAACAACACCACAATATTCCCTATAGACAATAGGATATCTTAACAACACCACAATATTCCCTATAGACAACAGGATATCTTAACAACACCACAATATTCCCTATAGACAACCAGATATCTTGACAACTTACAATATTCCCTATAGCTAACAGGATATCTTAACAACACCACAATATTCCCTATAGACAACCAGATCTCTTAACAACACCACAATATTCCCTATAGACAACAGGATATCTTAACAACTCCACAATATTCCCTATAGACAACCAGGTATCTTAACAACAACACAATATTCCCTTTAGACAACCAGATATCTTAGCAACACCACAATATTCCCTATAGATAACAGGATATCAAAACACAGATACAATATCCACAATAGACAAACAGTTTATTTTTTAAACAACAACACTTATCATTGGCAAGCCAGGTCTGCCAAAATGTCCATTTTTACAGATTTCTTACAAAACAGTGACCTTTAGTTTTTGCAGACCAGATCTTTTTTGGCCATATAATACTTCCTTGTGTTCCTAAACTACCTATGCATGCATTTAGAATAGAAGTTAATACCTACGGCCAATACCATTTCCATAGTGGCCATCACATGACTCCCACTCCACTTGATTTTGGCTACTTTTCACAATTGACAGTTTTATGATATTAACTCCAAGAAGGACATTAAGGGTGTCATATTTTCATAACAACACCTCTGGAAGGAGTTTATGGAAAATGCAAGATTGAACTCCCTGCTGGCAACACAATTCAGCTGGGGCAGTTCTAAAAAAGTCTGGAGGGTCATACAAAAGTATGGCTGTTGAAATCACAACTACAGGCATGACTGGGGACCATTGGATTAAGCCATCATTCTAGCCATGTAATCACTTGTGTTTTTATTTTATGTTACAGAGATGCCACTGCCATTTTATCTGATTCTACTGATTATCCTGATGTCTGTCCTGGTTTTAGTCATCATTCTGGCTATAGTTATCACCTACATCTGTCACAGGTAACAAGTCAACAAAACATCCTTCAGCTCAGCTCAGCCTTGGAAACATAAAGCATAGTGTTGAACAAACAAAATATTTAAGTCAAACATGCTATTTGTTATAACAAACATTATGTTACAAGATTTTTCTTGGATACCCATGTGCTATATGTCCTGATGTAAATTGGCCTGTTTCATTGAACTTAATGGCAATTGAAAGTGATGCTCATCATAAAAAGAAATCTGAGATGGAAATTTTCAAAAATGAAAAATATGATTCATTTGGATAATAGGCATTAAATACTCATTTGAAATTTTATGAAGAAAAAGGGTCATTTTTTGGCCTTATTGTACCTACTACCATTGTATAAAGTTATTCAATCGAAATTTGTCAGAGATATCTGACCCAAATAAGCAACTTAAAGGTTTCATAACATGTCAGAATTGGATCTCGCTAAATTTCAACTCCAGTTATTTAATTACAATATAACAATAAATGAGCAAATTTATTATTACTACTGTAAATTCTGAAATTATTGTGATGTTTTTATTGATGCAAATAATGTGAATGGAAATAGGAGTAATACCACCATTGTTTTCCCCTATTAGTCTTTGTTAAATTATCATTTTTCAAAAAATTGTGCAGAATTTATATTTGTTTCAAATAATAAAATACTTGGCATGAATAAAGTTTTATCCTGTCCAGTACTAAAGTGAAAATTTCACATAACATTTCATTGCATATAAGACAATAATCATTACCGGAAGTAAACCAACAAAATTTTCACCCTTTTTGTCTCGCCTGCGACGAAAGTTTCGTCACAGTATGCAAGACTTAATAGTCCAGGGAATCTGAAGTTTTACCTCAAACAAATTGCAACAGAAATCATTTTTCATGAAAAACTAAGGTTACAACTATAGAATTAACATATCAAAAATCGGCAAAAATCGGACCACGGCAAAGTTGCATAATTTTGCGAAATAAAAAGGTCAAATTCTACTGAATTTCATGCAACGTAATGCGCGCCATACGTCAAAAGGGAAATAACTTGTATAATGCAACTTCAATGTCAACAAGCGGCATTTGTTTTTGACTTGGATTTGACCCATTGGAACTGAAAATTGGTGAGTAAAGCTTGACTATTACAATAAATGTATAAATATAAATACATTTATCATGTTTTGAACCTTTAAAAGTATTGTTTTTCCCCGAGTAGCAATATTTTGCTGTATCCGCCCCCCTTGACTTGACATTTTCGATTCCAACACATTTTACATTGATTTATTCAAAGAAATCATGTTTCCTAGTCTTGTAAATGGTTTTATAAGTAATAATAACTGTTTAGCGACGTTTTCCACTTTTAAAAATGACATTTCATAGGGGGGTTACGTCAAAAATAAAAAAAAGTATGGAACGCCATTGGTGACAAAAGGAATGAACGAGTGAATACAAGTATTTGTATTTACATTCCTATAAATGCTTCTGTAGTAATTTTTTGGTTGTTTTTAAGTATCTTATAATGGCCAGCTGTAGAAATCGTGGTGTTAAGTGTTCTATTATCTTTGTTTGTCCGTCAGGATTACGGTTTCCGGATCATAACTTATGTTTGAATTTACCATTTTTTTTTAAATTTTAACACAGTGTGGATATCCATTAAATAAGGGTCAACTAGATTTTTAGCCAGATCTTATGTAGTACATCAGACTCATTAATTCATCAGTTAGTTGAAAATAAATATTGTGTTTTACTGTTTAATTAGCAAATAAAATATGAAATACAATTATTGTTTTCCTTCAACCTATCCATGGGCTAATTATGTAGTTTAACTTTTAATCGAATTAAATTTTTATTTTGTAATGATTGAAAAATCAAACTTTCCGTTTCAGGATAAAATGGTGACCAAAGAGAAGCCCGAAGAAAGAAAGCAATGGTTATTTATCCCAATATACCACTAGAACAACAAAATGAGTGATAGTAAGTTTCATGACAATATATTTTTCATTGAATGATGAAGCTTATTTTTTTTTTATATGACCATCCGTTCGTTTGTGCACACGTTCATGTGATGTGAGTTAATGTTTTCATGATTTCTTCAAATTGTACTTTTTAGTACAGTTAAAAATATCCATTTCGTTTTTGGTTATGTCACTTTAAATTGTCGTTTTATGTAATAAGTACTGTGAAGCAATTAGAACATAATCTTACCGTCAAACAAATTTTGAGTATTTACTAGCGAATTCGCTTTGCTTCCAGTGACGAGCTACAGTGAGTTAGCATGATATTTTATTTTAATGATATTGATTGTGGAGTTTTATTAACAATATAAAAATAAACATTTCAATTATTTTATTATTTGTAGAACGTTAACTAAAAAAATATTCTTTGCCAGACTGCATTGAAACTAAATTATATTCTTCATTCATTTCAGATGTCCGGAAGTAGCTGTGTGATATGCAACGAACCTTTGGAGAATGGACAAGTTCTGATAACGATAAGAGAAAAAGGTGCCAAAACAATCAATGAAGTAAGCAAACATAGACAGCAAAAAGTGTTGCAGCCGGCCAAATACTACACCAAGAATGTCGTAAAAAATATACAAATGTTAAAGAGATTCAGAAAATTGGTAAAGAGAATGCTGATAACGACAGATTTAATCGAGACACGCGATCATCACAGTATTTTAATTTTAGAGAGCATTGTTTATTTTGTGGACAGTCAGCTCAAATGTCAGATAGAAAATATGGAATAGAAGTATATCCAGTTAAAACTTTTGAATTCCAACAGAAAATTGAGGCAATATGCAAAGACCGGAAGGATTCATGGGCTGCTGAGGTTTTTGCAAATCTTGAATATGCACAAGACTTACCTGCAGCAGATGCTATTTACCATCAGAAATGTAGCGTTAACTTCAGGACAGGGAAAAATATACCTATTGGAACACCAGAGCAAAAACGAATAAAGCAAGGTAGACCAGATCACACTGAGGCAAATACAGCTTTTCTGAAGACCATGGATTATTTGCAAGAAAATGAAGAGGACCAATTGACAGTAAAAGATCTCGTTCATCAAATGACACAGTTTTGTGGAGATCTGGCATACACAACAGTACACATGAAATCAAAGATCAAAACACTTTGGTGATGAAGCTTTTATTAGCGACGTCTGTGGAAAACCAAATGTGGTCACTCTTCGTAAAACGGCATCTGCTCTTCTGCAAGAATTTCATCAGAGTAAAAAAAAATCAGATCCTGAAACAAAAAAAAGAGATATTATCAAAACAGCAGCTAAACTTATCAAATCTGATATCAAATCAATGGAATTTTCAAGGTTGGTGTATTCATCACCAGCTACAATAGCATCTTGTGAGGAAAACATTGCATACTTACCTGACAGTCTTAAACAGTTACTTAGTGGAATATTTTCTGAAAAAGATTGCGATCTTAAAGTGGCAGCCATTGGCCAGTCTATCATGCAAGCAACAAGACCAAGATCTCTGATTGCTCCTTTACAGCAAGGTCTAGGAGTTCAAATGCATCATCATTTTGGGTCATAATTCCTCCTCGATACCTTATACCAACTTGGCTTCTTGTCATCTTATAAGGAAGTTCAAAAACACGGCGTGAATTCTGCTCTCCAGGATAATGATTCTCCTCAAGAACTTGAAGGAGGATTTATTCAACACGTGGCAGATAATGTCGACCATAATATCAGAACACTTGACGGTCATGGGACATTCAATGGAATGGGGATAATAGCAGGCATCACACCTGGTTATAACCACAAAACTATTGTGCAGAGATTGAATGTTTCGCTTGACGATATTAAACAAATAGGGAAAATCGATCCCCATCAGTACAACTTTGACCGAACATCAAAACTTAGTTTAAAATTTGAATCACTTGCAGCACAACATTCGGATTCGTTTCACGATAACATTAGTCTTCTCTGTAGTACTCTTTGGCCAAAGAAAAAGATTGGGTGGTCGGCATTGTGTAATTTAGTGCAAGATGGAGCATACCCTGGTAAATCAACAATTGTATTTTTGCCTATGATAGACATTGAGCCAGGAAACCTTTCATGTATCTTTTCGACCATGAAGTTCGTATGTAATGAAGCGTTTAAGTACAGAGCTAATCCAATGCTTACATTTGATCAACCGCTTTATTGGAAAGCACTTACAATTATCGACAATGAACCAAAGGAAAGCGATTTGAAATGAATAGTTCTCAGATTAGGAGGTTTTCTCCTAGAAATGAGCTTCCTTGGATTGATTGGTAACATTATGAGGGGATCTGGACTAGCTGAGCTCATGGAAACTGTCTACGCACCTAACGCTGTTTCGCATATGTTAACCGGAAAGGCAGTTGCAAGAGCAGTACGCGGTCTTTTCCTAATTTATAATGCTTTAACCTCATTATTGATGTGCGAACAGTTTCAGGTATCTTCTGCTGTCTTGAAAGATAATGACATTGAAAATGGAGAACATGTTTCATTTCTTGAAGAAACTTCAGGTGACATGATAAGTGAAACTGATATTGAAGACTCTGAAAATCACGGTGAAAACACTTTTCCCCAGGATTTAAATGAACTGAGTTATGTTTTTGATGAAATCCTCGAACGACGTGTTCCAGTAGACACCCTTGATCAAAATGAGATATTGAGAAAAATACGCGACAGTATATCAACTTTTAGAAAATCACAGATCGAATACCGGACAGCTCGACTATGGTTTTTATATATGGATATGGTGGACTTGCTGCGGAAATTCATTAAAGCTGAAAGAACTGGAAACTGGACCCTTCATCTTCAAATCATTAAAGAGATGTTACCGTACTTTGCTGCTCCTGGACATAACCTATATCTCAAATCAGGGTATGTATACCTGCAGCAAATCCTGTCATTAATGAAGCTCTCATGTCAGGCTTTCATGTGATGAGAAGAAGTGATCGGTTCTGGTCAGGTTTATCATCGGATCTGGTCATCGAGCAGGTTCTGATGAGATGCATTAAAACCACTGGAGGTCT